TCACCCTTCTTTTGGATTGAGTTTATTGTTGTTGCTTCATTTTACCTCCTTCGTTAAATGTTAGAATAGATCTTTGTTTTGTTGTGTTGATTTCTTTACCATTTATATTATAAAATTTAAACTATCATCAAGTGATATTATGTCACTAAATGTATAGATGCCATAAACATCATGTACTGATGCCATAAACAGGAGTATCAATTGGTAAAGTCAACAACAGGAGTCACTGTGCACTTACTCCTCATGTAGGATCTCTGTCCTTAACGTGCTGTACACTGAGCCTTAATGCTATAACGAATCCTCAAACAGGATCATTCCCTCTGTGTATATATGGGGGTGCAAACGACTGAAATCTTTGCTTAAAGTACACTAAACTGATCTTCTGTAAAAAAAAAAAAAAAAAAAAAAAAAGAAAGAAATTATCAATTCCCAACTTGACTCTCACTGAGATTAAACATGACAATAGGTCTGATCTGATTTCATCATCATTTAAAAAAAATCATCTATTATTTTTCACTTTATGTTTCTGTGTGGGAGCAAACTGTTGAAATACTTACTTAAGGTATACTAAGCTGATCTTCTGTATATTAAGATAATCGAAAATGAATCTTGATGTGAATGGAAGGGGAGAGGGAGTGGGAAAGGGGAGGGTTGTGGGTGAGAGGGACGGTATTGGGGGGGAAGCCATTGTAACACATGAGTCGTACTTTGGAAATTTATATTCATTAAATAAAAGATTAAAAAAAAAAAGAATAAATCTTCCAATTGTATACTTCCACTTCTGTCTTCCCAGTCTTTGTGCTGTTGCATATAAAACGTTGTATTACATTGCTAACATTTTTATCTAAAATAGCAATTATATCTTGAAGAATTTAAATACCAATATTACGTATTTATCCATATAGTTACTCCTTGCTACTATACATTTGTGCAGATATGTATCTGTGGGGAGCAACTCAGACTAGACTAAGTTACTCGAATTAAGACTTATTCTATGCATCTGCTCTCCCACAATATGGCGCTGGGAGAGGAGGAAACAGCTTCTACACAGCTGCCTCCAATTCAACCAATAAACTGTAGGACCTGCTCCTGATTGGAGGAGAGCAGCATACTCGGCGTGTGGGTAGCAGAGTTGGGATTGGTGGAAGAGGACTATAAAGGAGGAGAGAGACAACATGCACCAGGAACACCTGAGGAACATCTGAGCAGCCCCTGAGAGAGCCGGCCGGCGGTGTGCCGCTCCCCAGCAGAAGTGGGGAAAGTGGCAGGGGGAACCGCCCTTCCACGGAGGTGGAAGGGTCGGTAGCCAACCCGGGAAGAACCAGCAGCAAACCCGGGAAGGGCCGAGCAGACAAAAGAACAGCGCAGGGTCCTGTGTCGTTCCTCCGCGAAGAGGGGGAGCGACATGTATTCATCTGATACCATTTTTTTTTCTGCCTAAAGGACTTTGACATTTCTTATAGAGTGGGTATGCTGGTGATGCATTCTTTCAGTGTTTGTAAGTCTGAAAATGTTCTTACTTTGCGTTTATTCTTCAAAGATAATTTCATTAGATACACATTTTTACATTAGTAGATGTTGTGTTTGTGTGTGTCTAAAAACATTGCTTTGTCATCTTCTCACTGGCCTTATGGCACAGGGAAGTGAGAGTGTTCTTCCGTGGGTAATAGGTATTCTATACTTGGCCGCCTTTCAGATTGTATCTGTTATGGATTTCGAGAAATTGTATTATGGCATTCTTTGAGTATGTGCTAACCTTTTCCCATGAATGTTGTGTTTATCAAATTTTTGTCTATTTTTTTTTCAAAAATTTGTCCTGTTCCCTTCTCACATTCCCTTCTATAGAGACTCCGATTACACATATATTGATTGAGCTGAAGTCGTGTTATGCTAATGCTTTTTATTGTTTTGAATTCTTTTTTTATTTCTATTTCATTTTAGATAGTTTCTGTTGTTATACCTTTAAGTCCACTGGACTTCTGCTGCACTGTGTACTATTCTTTTAATCCTATTCAGTGCATTTTTCTTGTAGACATTTTAATTTTTATTTCTAGAAATTGGAGTTGGGACTTTGGAAAACATACTTTCCATGTCATTTCTTAATTTTAGAAAAGATAGAACTTAACTATCGTAACAACTGTTTTACTATTCTTGTCTACTAATCTGCCATCTGCCTCAGTTCCTAAATGCTCCTAAAAGCAATCTTGAGATTTGTTCCGGGACACAGTTAAGCTCCTTCGAAATGATTTGATCCTCCTAAAATTTGTTTGCCCAAACTGGAGTAGTGCTCAATTTAAGACTAATTATTTCCATGACCAAAGGAAGACCTACATCAGGCCCCATGAATCATAGTCTGTTGCTAGAACGTGTGGGAATAGGCATGATTCCGGGGCCTGGTGGAGCTAGGGTGTGGATCTCCTCTAATCTCTTTGGGTGGTTCTTTCCCAGCCTCCAGACTGCTTTCCTTACACACACACACTGACTATTATTCATCTGGCATTTCGAGCTGTCTTCCTCCATGGAGCGTCCTTCTTTCCAGGATTCTGTCGTATGCCCTCAGGCTTGCTCTCTTGAGACTCAACTTTATCTTCTCCCCTCACAGACTCCAGGATTCTTTGCTTGTATTCCCTCTTCCAGTGACACAGCCCCAAAAACTCCCTAAAGCCAGAAACTGGGGCAGTTTGTGGGACTGACTGACTTGTTTCTCATCACCTGGGACTACTGTTCCCTGTTACCTGATGGTCAGTGTATTGAAAAGTGTTACTTCTTAAATTTGTTCTTTCTTTTTTCTTTTCAGACAGATAGAGAAATGTGGTTCTTGTTATTCTATCTTGCTGGCATCTGAATTCCTTTCTATCTTTTTTTTTAAGCCTCAGGTATTTAATCTTAATAATTACATAAATTTATTAGAACTGGATAAGGAAATTTTATACACACACACTATGGAGTACTACTCAGCTATAAAAAATGAAATCCTGTCTTTTGTATCAAATGAATGCAAATGGAAACCATTATACTTAGTGAAATAAGACAGTCACAAAAAGACAAATACCATATGTTTTCCCTGATTCAAGGTAACTAATAGAGTAACTACAATGTAATGCGTTGGAATGAAATAGACATTTTAAGATTGATGATTGGAATAGCCCTTGTCTCTTCTGTTGAGGAATGGTGGTGTTTTTTTTTTTTTTTCTCCATACTATTTGTTGAACTCTTTTACTTAGTGTTTTGTTAACTTTATGATCATCAAGTAAACTGAAAGTAGATCTTTGCAAAAATTAAGAGTAGGAATGGGAGAGGGAGGAGGAAGGAGAGTTGGAGCGTGGGCGGAAGCAGGCTAGGGTGGAAGTATCACTATGTTCCTAAATCTGTTTAAATGAAATACATGAAACTTGTGTGACTTAAATAAAATTTTAAAAATGAAACTCAAGAAATAGAGATTAGTAAACTAGAAAAACCTGAAAAATATTCAGAATAGAACATAGAGAAGAAAGAAATAAAAATATGAAAAATTATGAGATGGGTGCAGGAGAAACTTCCCCTTAATTTTCTTAAAGGCCATTCTTTCTTTCTGAGTTTAATTTTCTTCCTGCTAATTTATATACAATGTAGTTTTTTAAAAAAAAAGATTTGTTTATTTATTATTTGAAAGGCAGAGTTAAAGAGAGGCAGAGAGAGAGAGGTCTTCCATATGCTGGTTCACTCCCCAGATGGCCGCAATGGCTGGAGCTGGGCCAATTTGAAGCCTGGAGCCAGGAGCTTCTTCCAGGTCTCCCACGATGGTACAGGGGCCCAAGGACTTGGGCCATCTTCCACTGTTTTCCCAGGCCATAGCAGAGAGTTGGATCAGAAGTGGAGCAACCAGAACATGAGCCAGCACCCATATGGATGCCAGCACTGCAGGTAGTGGCTTTACCTGCTACGCCATAGTGCCAGCCCCCATTTGTAGTTTGAGTGAGGGAATTCCTGTGAGTTATAAATATACTGTGTCATACTTGATTTTTGGAGATTGTCTTTATTGCACCTTTACTCTAGAACAATAATTTAGTTACACCAAACTTTCCATGTTGACAACTGTTTTCTCCCAAAACTTAAAGCCATTCTTCAGTTGTTCTGGCCTCTGTCAGTGCTAATGAGAATTTTGCTGATAGCCTGATTGTTGTTCTTTTGCGAGAAATATGACTTGAACACTGGTTGTTTTACATTGTTTATTTGGGCCTTCTGGATCTCTGAGCGCCACCATGGAGCTGGCAAGAACAAGCACCTTACAAAGGTGACAAAACTGGAGTCAAGAAGAAAGCGGTTGCTCTGATTTCCACAAAGATTGGTAGAATGTGAAAGGTACAGGAAAACCTTTAAATCAGAGCTCCATCTAGGTCTTTGTGTGGGCATAAGGACACTGGGAAGAAAATGGCTCTGTCATTTGAAAAAGTCATGTGTGCCAGGGCTCATTTGTTGTGGGCTGTGGCACTCTGGTCAAATTTTGGAATAAGAAAGGAGGCTGAGCGCACCTGTCACCTCTATGCATGATAACATTGCCGCCAGCCCTCACTGGAGGGGGAGCACACCGCCAGCCCTCACTGGAGGGGGAGCACACCACACTAGATGTGATAGTAAGGATTTTGGAACTTTCTAGTCTTCAGGAGGTTTAACTCTTAGCAATTTTCTCTCCAATTATTGGAGTAGTTTTATGAAGCATTCACTATTGATTCAATCTGCCTCTAATATCATATTATTCATAAATTTTTTTCAACAGAAATATTATATGATGGAACAAAACCAGAATCAGTTATGATAGCTTGCAGTAAGTACAAGATAAAAATGTGGGGACCCTTGTTAAAAATTATTAAGGATTTAAACAAATGTAGGGTATACATACAATGAAAAATATTTTTCAGCCTTAAAAAGGAAGGAAATTCTAACCCACGGACATGGATGGCCTTGAGGGTATTATGCTAAGAAGCCAGCCACCAAAAGAAAAGTAATGCATGACTACTTACATATGGTCCCTGGAGCAGTCAGCTTCGTGAAGACAGAAAGTAGGATGCCAGTCGCCAGGGCCTGGGGGAGAGGGAAAGCAGGCTGTTCAGTGGGGGAAGAATTTTAAAAGCAGAATATCCTAGGATGGGCATTTAGATTCATTGTTAAGATGCGCAAGTCCTGGAGACCTGGCTTCTGCTCCTGCACCCAGGTTCCTGCCAGTGTAGACCCATGGAGGCAGCGGTGATACTTAAGTGAGCGGGTTCCTGCCACTCACATAGAAGACCGAGCCTGGGTTCCCTGCTTCTGGCTGCAAGTCCAGGCCAGTCCCAGCTGTTGCAGGCATTTGGCTTCAGTGAGCAGGAGCTCTGTCTCCATCTGTCTCTGCCTCTGTCTCTCCCTTTCTCTCTGCCTCTCAAATAAATAAACATTTAAGAAAACAGAATATGCTGGCGCTGGCCTTTGTGGCACTAAAAAGTAATTCAGAATTAAAACTTTTTCGTATTTTTCAAAGGAATCTCGTCAGCTTTGAGATGCTGCAAGGGCTGGGTATGTGTGTGGATGCCGCTCATGACACGTATTTAGATGAATGGAAGCACATGTAATTCAGTTGGGTGCTAACGTCAGCCTTAGAGAAAACTCTGTTAGGTGGCTGAAGGTCTGAACATAAATGGAAGAGACCCGACCTCACCGTAATAGAAATAGTTTCAGCTTCACAGTTTGGGTGAGCACTTTTTTTAAAAAAGATTTATTTATTTCAAAGACATAGTTAGAGAGAGAGGCAGAGCCAGAGAGAGAGAGAGAGAGAGAGAGAGAGAGAGAAAGGTCTTCCACCTGCTGGTTCACTCTCCTAAATGACCACAACCATCGGAGCTGAGCTGAGCTGATCTAAAGCCAGGAGCCAGGAGCTTCTTTCTGGTCTCCCACACGGGTGCAGGAACCCAAAGATTTGGGCCACCTTTCACTGCTTTCCAAGGCCATAGCAGAGAACTGCATCAGAAATGGAACAGCAGGGACTCAGACTCTGCCCGTATGGGATGCCAGCACTGCGCCACAGTGCCAGCCCAGGTGAGCACTCCTGATGTGGCTGTTAAATATTCTGCAGATATCTCAAAGACAACTTACTTCACTAAACATATTGTCCAGACCTGAGCTGGCCAGCACAGTGACTTTGGGACCCTTAAAATGTGATGTTGAATGCTTCATCTTCAAATATTTGAGCAGGGTAAATATTAATAATGAGAACATGTTATACATATTGGGTTAAATAATGTACTATTTAAATTCAACCTGTTTCTTTTTGCTTTTCTAAAGGGGCTGCTAGACATTTAAAATTATATACATGACTTACTTTTGTGGCTCCCAGTTACATTTCTTTTTTTTTTTTAAGATTTTTTAAAATTTATTTGAAATACAGAGTTACAGAGAGAGGGAGAGAAAGAGAGAGAGGTCTTCCAACTGCTGGTTCACTCCCCAGATGGCCGCAATGACCGGAGCTGCACTGATCCGATGCCAGGAGCCAGGAGCTTCCTCCAGGTCTCCCATGTAGGTGCAGGGGCCCAAAGACTTGGGCCATCTTCTACTGCTATCCCAGGTCAAAGCAGAGAGCTGGATCAGAAGAGGAGCAGCCGGAACTAGAACTGGCACCCATATGGGATGGCAGTGCATCAGACCAGGGCTTTAACCCGCTGTGCCACAGCACTGGCCCCGTCCCAGTTACATTTCTACTAAACAGTGTTGGCCTAGCATGCTTGGTTTTTGATATAAAGTAGACCATTGGTGTTCTGATTTATTCTCAACCCAAGACTGAAGACACTTTGCAGCTGCCTAACCTTAGTCCGAAGAGTTTATTATTTAGGGGCCAGAGTTATGGAGCAGAGGGCTAAGTTGCCTCCTTATCAGAGCATTGGTTCAAGTTCTGGCAGCTCTGCTTTAATCCAGCTCCCTGCTAATTGCCTGGGAAGGCAGCAGAGGATGGCCCACATGCTTGGGCCCCTGGTACTCCTGGATGGAGTTCCAAACTCTTGCCTTTGGCCGGCCCCAGCCCTGACCATTGCAGCCATTTGGGGAGTAATCCAGGGGATACATCAGTCTTTCTCTCCCTGTAGCTCTTTCAAACAAATAGATCTTTTTAAAATGAGCAATAAATATACTTTTATAATATTCTGAATATTTTAAAATTGATTTGGTGTTATTTTGAGCATAAACATGTATAAAGAACATATAGCTAATTTACTTTTAATTTTAGTTATAGTTAATGAATTTAAAGTATTAGACTTATAATGTGAGCTCAGACATTAACATATCCATTCCTATCCAAAAATGTTGAACTCACACTTTTCCATAAGATTTGTTTTTAAATTCAGCAATCCTAAGAAGTAAATCTGTCCATTCTTTTCCTGTGTTAATTTAGAAGCTTGGGTTGTATGTTGAATTCTTTGAATAAAGACCTTTTTTCCCCTTTGTATGCTATGTAATACTCTGAATCTCCTTTAAAATGCCAGTGTCAGGTAACAAAACTCACATCTCTGTGGAAACTGCTCTCCTTGTGTAGTTACTTTGTTGTGTCTGGGAACAGTCATAGATTTTTCTGGATGTTATCCAAATGCCTTTACCAGTATTTAACATCATAATAGAAGTCAAATCTTTTTTTCCATTCTAATTGCAGCTTTTGAATGTTCTCCAGAATAAATGGGGTACACAGATTGTCACTGCATTGCGATGTCAGAGCAGGGGTCCTGTACCCCCACAGCCCTCCTGAGGGTGCACGCGAGGGGTTATAATAAGGAAATGGAATGCAGGAGTCATCTCTTGACCTCCTTCATGACCCAATTGCAAGCGTCTGAAATAACTGCTAAGTTAAAATAATACTTTGTTTTAATGCTCTTAAAACTAATTGTGACAATGGTATTCTGTACTATGTAAATTGCTTTATTTATTTATTTATTTTTTTATTTTATTTTATTTTTTTTTTGTACAGGCAGAGTTAGACAGTGAGAGAGAGAGACAGAGTGATAGGTCTTCCTTCCGTTGGTTCACCCCCCAAATGTCCACTATGGTCAGCATGCTGCACTGATCTGAAGCCAGAAGCCAGGTGCTTCCTCCTGGTCTCCCAAGGTGGTGCAGGGCCCAAGCACTTGGGCCATCTTCCACTGCCTTCCCGGGCCACAGCAGAGAGCTGAACTGGAAGAGGAGCAACCGGGACAGAATCCAGCACCCCAACCAGGACTAGAACCTGGGGTGCAGGCGCCGCAGGCACTGACAATTGGCACTTGGCAATTAGCCAAGTGAGCTGCGGCACCGGCCTAAATTGCTTTATTTCTAATAAAAGCCAGGATGAAACCTTCCTTGCTGTAATCCATTTAATGTGTCTTTAACACTGAATCAGCACTGTAGCGGTGGCTTTGTTATGACTGCCATTTAACCTGCTTTGATATCATATTTATATCTATCCAGAGAGGAGCTGAGCTAGGAGTAGCCGTCACACTGGGGGCTGCTTCGTGCTGGTGCCTCTGATCTTCCCTCTGGGGACTTCCTTGTGGACCACTGGAGCGTGAGCTGTCCGAGCACACGCAGGCTTGGCTGATTAACTTTGGGGCATAGTCTCTCTCAGTACTCTGCAGACTTTATCCCTTGGGAATCCTGGTAAAATATACAGTCTGATTTAGTAGATTTAGGATGAAACTTGATGATGATGATGATGATGGACCACTCTGAGTTAACTTCTACACTGGCCTCCACACTTTCCTGAAGGAATTAGGCTCCATTTTCCTTCAATGGCAATTTGCCTGATTATTCTCCTTTGACTAATTTTCTTACCTTCCCTGTTTCTCACTTCTCTGTTCCCTCACTTTCCTGCTTGCATGTGAATTCTTATCTCAAGTTGCTTCTGGGAAACCCACATCAAGAATATCTATCCATCCATGCATCCATCATCTGTCCACCCATCTGTATCATTTGCCATCCTTCCATCCCTCTGGAACATAGCAACACAGTGCAGCAGCCTCTTCCAGCATCCAGCCAGCTGAAACTCTGGGAGGGAAAGGATGAACACATCAGCAGGGAGTGGAAAGACCAAGCCGATGACTGTGAGCTCAATCGGCTTTTCCCTCTTTCTCGTGCAACTGTCAGACGGGGGTGATGTGGTGCAGGGGGAAGCCCTGTTTAAAGAAAACAGGCAGTTAGGGCTGTGTGAATGATGCAACGCCAGAAGCCCACAGAGGGCTTGCCATTCGTTGTGGAGAGTGGGCAAGGGCTTTCTGCCTGACTCTTGTCTTCCGGACACACTGTTCGGAGAGAGGCATTTATCAACAGGGCCACACACAGATGGCAGGTCAGATGTTAGCCATGGAAGGGATTGACATCGGCATAAGCAGAGAGACCCTGGGTGAAGTGGTCAGAGGGAATGCCACACAGCCCAGGCTGTGGATCAGCCGCGTGAAGGAGAGGGAAGTGAGAGAGGGCTTTGCAGAGGGTGACACAGGATTTCCTTGTGACTTTGTGCAGCCTGCCTACTGGGTGCCTCTTATCTGGTGGATACGCGGTCAACAGCAGAGCTCTGGACTTCCTCAGCCCAAACCCAACTCTGACACTTGTTGGTTCTGCATCCTGAGCAGGGTATTCAACCTCTTTAAGCATCAGTCTTCCCAATAATAACAGTAATTCCTATCTCATGGGATTGTGATAAAAATTGAATGAGATTTTCTGTACAAAGTGTTCTGTTACAACTGGAGGACAAGAGAGCCGCCCTGATATTGCAAATATTCCCAAGAATGTCAAGGAGACGCTGGATGGTCCTTTCGTTTGAGTCCAGCATTGTGTATACACATACACATTTAATATCATACTTGTAGAAAGCCACTGGAGTGATAATGCCCTGATTATGTAAATCAACCACAGCTTTAACAGCCAAAAAATCCAGTTACTGCCCTTAGCTATGCATGAAATCACCCTGTGAAAGCGTTCCTGAGTGAGGCAAACACCTGTTCCTGATGGGACCCAAAAGGGAAACTTAATTTGATGCCTCTGCTTCCCCTTCTCATTAAAAGTATCTGGACCCCTACTGAAATAGTTAATGCAGA